ATCGTAATTGGAAGTTGAAGATGCTTATCCTGTCCTGGCTCTGATCTACTTACGTGATTGACTAAGTGGCTCCGCATCGTCCTCTATCTTCTTATCCGATCCACCAAGCACTTAACGCTCTCTTCTCCTCCTCACGGACACTGTGCTGTTCCATATCGGCACATGCCCGACGACGCGGTCGAGACGATCGCGAGCCGGCGACTGACGGGACTCGAACTGGCTCGGACGCTGATGTCCTCCGCGATGGACACGCGTTACGCAAAGAGCGGCCGCATGGAGCGCCAGATCCGCTTTGCCGCACGAGTCGCGGAGTTGCTGCCGGTCCATGCGCTACGCTATCCGCGGACCGTCGAGGCGCTGGACGGAGTGGCCCGTGAAATCCACCGGGTCATCGCCTCATGAGATCGCTTTCCGCCTTCTTCGCATTGCCAGGCAGAGATCGGCTGCTGCTGATGAAAGCAGGCCTGATGCTGGCACTGGTTCGTGCCGCGCTGCATCTTGTATCGATCGAACGGTTGCGCGCCTGGACCGGCCGCGTCCGCCCGGGAAACACTCCTGCCGACCGCATCATCTGGGCGGTGCGCACGGCGGCCCGTCGCATACCGGCCACCACCTGTCTCAGTTCGGCTCTGACGCTGCAGCGCATGCTCTCTTCGGAAGGGCACTTGTCGCAGACCCATATCGGCGTTGCCCGAGACGCCAGCGGCTTCATCGCCCATGCCTGGCTGGTCCATGACGGTGTCGTGGTGATCGGCGAGGAAGAGCACGAGCGCTACACCAGGCTTACGGCCTGGGAAGCGCGCGAGACCCTCGGCTCGCCGGGCTAGACTTGTTCGCCGCCCTTCGCAGCATCGGCCAGGAACCGCTCGACGTCCGGCAGTGGACGGCAGGCGACGCGTCGCTCGACGTCAAAGTGCTGGGCCGCGCACGGCGCACCGCCTTCATCACCGGCCCGGGAAGCACGTTCGATTCGCTCGAGGCGCGTTACTGGATCGTCGGGCGCATCCGGCTCGATGCACGCGAGGATCTCCGTGCGCGTCTGGGCGCTACCGGCGACACCCCCTCGGATGCAAGGCTTTGCCTGCTCGCCTATGCGAAGTGGGGCCAATCCTTCACCGATTTTCTCTCCGGCGACTTTGCCTTCGCGATCTGGGACGACGAACGGCAATGCCTGCTCGGCGTGCGTGATCGGCTGGGCGTGCGAACGCTCTTCCATACGAAGACCCCCGGCGCCTGGCTGGTCAGCGACTCGCTCGACTGGCTGGCAACACAGGACGCGGGTGCCGCGCTCGACGACTACTGGATCGCCGACTTCCTGGTCCTCGGTGTCTCACGCGAATTCGAGCGCACGGTCTATCGCGACACGAAGCGGCTGGCGCCGGCGCACTTGCTGAGGCTCGACGATGCGGGTCTTTCGCTTCGCCGTTACTGGCGCCTCGAACTCGCCGAACCGATCTACCTTCGCACGGCCGCGGCCTATCACGAGCGCTTTCGCGAGCTCCTGGGGCGCGCCATCGCCGATCGCCTGCCGCCCGGGAGGGTCGGAATCGCCATGAGCGGCGGCATCGATTCGACGACGCTGGCGGCCACGGCCGTCGAGGTGACGGGCGACCCGTCCCGGATCGTGGCGGAGTGCGAGCACTACGAACGGCTGATGCACATCCGCGAGGATCACTACGCCTCCCTTGCCGCCCGGCACCTCGGCATCGAACTGCGCATCCGGCCGGCCGACGCCATCGCCTACGATCCGCAATGGCGGTCGCGCGGCCTGCCATCCGCCCAGCCCGCGGTCGCTTTGCTCAACGGCCACAACATCCAGCGGGTCGGTCGCGACATGGCGGCGCTCTCCCCGGTCTGGTTGGACGGGGAAGGGCCTGACAATGCCCTCACTTTGGAGCGCAACGCCTATCTCGGCTGGTTGACCCGCCGGCGATCCTGGGGACGGCTGGCCCAAGCCTTGGTCCAGTACACGATGGCCAAGGGGCTCACCGGCTGGATGCAGACGTTCCGGCGGCGCACCGGACGGAGACACG